TTTATTACAACTTTTGTCATGCAGAAGATGTTTGATTCATGGTGATGTGTTGCTTGATGACAGAGGCATTCTGAGGAATTTGTGGTTTTTGAACATAATAGAATGTACATACAGAGCCCCAGCTGGTATAGTCTGCTGCACACCTCGTGTACATGGTGTGTGTCTGTGTCTGGTTCAGCCTGCTGCTCCTTAGACTAGGCCTAACACAGCAATGTGAGAATGGTGTAGTCCAGGGACATTGTAAACCTGGGAGCTGTGAGGCTGTGGCCAGAGAAACACGGATTCACAGCAAGCTTTTTTTATGTAGAAGGAGTACACCCGAAGCAGTTGCCCAAGTGAAGAACTAAAGTATCATCTTGGACTCTCTTCTTAGGTCCTATTTGATGGATTATCAAGATTATGACTTTTGAATATTTTCTGAATCTTTCAAAATTTCTCTGTTTTGTCACTATCATAACTTGGAGCATGTTCAATCTGTTCATCTATTACCTTATTCTTTCTTACTGCATAGAGTGATTTTGTTCCCTACATTTAAAAAATTCTATGACAGAGTCTTACGATCCTGAACCATGCAGTTCAGGTTTTCTGCTATGACGCCGTGTTTTATGGTATCTGCTTCTGCTGTCTTGGGTATTGATATTGGCCACTCTCAACGCTTTCCTTCTCCAGGGTCCAGCTAAACATAGTGTGACCTTAGTTCCTCAGAAGCTCCCTGTGCCCTCTGATTGCCTATATGCTCTTTTTTCCTGTCAGGACCCTCTTCCTCTTCTTCCCCTGCACCTTGCCAACACTGTTGTTTCTGTCTCAGTAGAGATGCCACTTTCTCTGTGAAGCCCTTCTGACTTGCCTTGTCACCATGGAATCTGTATTAGGAAAACTTCCCATGTTAGGTGTCCAGTGCTTTGTACTTAGAGCACATATCATAAAAAATTTATGGGCTATATAATTCATGTGCCATAAGTCTCATCCACTTAAAGTGTAAGATGTAATGAGTTTCCAGCAGTTGCATGCAATCATGAAGTCATTGAACAATGAAGCTATAGAATGTTGAAATTATTTCTAAAAGGTCTCTTCCACTCTTCACTCTTTTTCCCCTCTTCCCTGTCCCCCTTCTCTAGGGAACCACTGACCTGCTTTTCTTTTTTTTTTCTATAGATTTGCCTTTTCTTGAAAATTTTTTACTTATTTTGAGTCTGACTTCTTTCAATCAGAACTTGAAATTCATAGATTCATTTTTGTTTATCAGTAATTGGTTCTTTTTATTGTTTGGGTGGTATTCTATTGTTTGCTCATTTACTGTGCCGTCTTCAGTTTCTCTGTAGTTTCTAGTTTTCCTGTCAGCTCTTTCTTGATTCCTGGTACTGTACTTCTTTTATTCTTTGCTAGGTTGTTGCATTCCAGGTGTCTCAATTATAGTTCTCCTCACTTTAGCACAATCTTTAATGAATGTTATTTAAAGATTTATGGGTTTGATATCATAGTAAAATAACACCTTTTAGGAGGAAAAAATTTCTATAAAAGTCATCATTTTTCAACTAGTTATGCCAGAGATTCTCATACTTTCTGGCTTATAACACCCTAAGTGTTTTAGTCATTACTGTACTTCATGGTGCCCCTAGAGTTTAGGGCCTAGATCAAAAGAAGTACTTCAGAATTACACTAACTGTTAGAATAAAATAACTTAGAAAGTTATACTGTAACTGGTTAGACATTTAAAAAAGAAGAAACAGGGAATAAAGTTTGTAATATTCTTAACTGCAGTTATTACTGTTAGGTTGTATACACCTCTGGGCACTCCTCAGCTCTCAAATACTGGAATTTGATAACCAGTGCACTCACTCATTTCTTGTTCCACATTGACTTTCATGTTACTTGCTTTCTTTCTTAGTAACTTCCCAGAGCCCACTTCACAAATACTGAACATAAGTCCTTCAGAAGAAGCATGAAACAGACTAATGTTGAATTTATGATCTTTTGTGAGCTAGTGGCTCCTCTTGTCTCACATATGTATTGTTGTTTTCCCCTTTACTGATAAACTCTTTGGGAGTTTGCTCCAGTACCATAAGAACCATGAATCTATGCAAAGGTGTGCAACAGTTGAGCGTAAGGCACTGTTTTAATTTTTCTGTTTTTTTTTTTTTTTTGGTTTTCAGTTTTGCTTCTTTGAGGCAAGGTCTCACTATGTAGCCCAGGCTGGCCTCAAATTTGCTTATATAGTGCAGACTGGCCTCCAACTCATGCTGAACCTCTGGCTCAGCCTCCTGAGTGCTGAGATTACAGGTGTGTGCCATCATGCTCGGCATTAATTTTTCTTTATTTTTTTCTCAATCTAATTTAATTTTTCAACCTGAATTGGAATAGTTTGCATTGCAGTTTAAAAACTAGCAAGTTATCAGTTCTCTGGTACTGTTTGAAAAATATTCATTTTCTGAGTATTCTTTCACAACTTGAAATCCACTGTACTTTATAATCTTAAGTAGTTTTAAAACTTGCTATAATAATTATTCTAGTTTAATCCATAAAGTTAAGGAAACTGCTTAAAAAGCAATAACACAAAGTGTTTTGCTATGTTCAGTTTTATATGTATGTATACATATATGTATAATGTATGTATAATAGATGCATATATACACACATGTATAATGTATATCCACGTTACATATGCATATACATTATAATGTATACGTAATGTATGTGCATATAAAATATATATTGTAATATATACATCTAAGTATATATAATATATACATCTGTAGCTTTTTAGTATAAAATAGATTTTTATTGTATAGTCTTTAAGGCATGCTCCCCAAATAACAGTAACTGATAGCTAAGATGGAATGATTATCCATGTTACTTGTTAGTACGTAGGTTGTATTGCCATAAACATTTCAATAGAGACTGATGCAAGAGGTTTTGTTTTGTTTTTGTTTTTTTGATGGAACTGTGGGTTGAACCTGAGACCTTCACATTCAGCTGCATCCCCAGGTTTTTTATTTTTTATTTGGAGATTGGGTCTTGCTAAGTTACTAAGTTAGCTAAGTGGGCTCAAACTTGTAATTTACAGTTTTCCCCTACTTTTTAAAAAAAACTTTTATTAATCAAGTTTTTCTTCAGTGGAGAATGATGGCAGCATGCCTTCTCACATAGGGTTACTTAGACTCTTGGGCCAAGGATATAGTTCAGCGGCATAGCACCTGCCTGGCAAGCACAAGGTCCTGAGTAATTCCTGGTACGAAAAAAAAATATATGTGTGTGTGTGTATATATATATATATATATATATATATATATATATATTCTAGCCTGCCTTTGCCTTTGTTTACATTTTGCCTTTTAGCTGACTAGTCCCTCCCTCCTTTGCTCCTTTCTTGAGCCAGGGCTACAAGTGCCCTGCCATTGAGTTGTACCCTAGCCAGCACTCCAGTTTTTGATGGTGATTTAATTATTTTAAAACAAGCACATACTCTTTTAGATAACACATTAAAATGTGGATTCCTGTAACATAAGACTTTTTGTCCAGGTGTGTTTTTTTTTGTCCAGGTTTAATACTGGAATAATTTTATGTAGTTGGAATACGAATTCTTTGTTAACTCCAAGTAGAAACTGCCTCTGGTTAATTTTTTTTACTTCCTGATTACTTTCAACAAATTGTTAAATTTTATATTAAATGTGTGAAGTTGGCATCTGATGTCATTCTTTACCTCCCAAATATGGAACATTAGCTTTCCAAGTACCATGTACTTTACAATGACATCTTTTCTTACCTTCACTGTTATAAATTAAATTTGTCTGATTATAGACTTCCTCTTTTGTTTCAAATAGTGATATGTTTGTTTTTATGCTAATACCACACTTATTTATTGTGTTATTATAATTTTTCTTAAGGTCTTTCAACTGCCTTTTTCTTGAGGCTGTTGCTGGCCTTTTGTTTTTCTACATACATTTAGAACTAGTTTATTAAATTGTTACACCAAGTCTTTGATGTATTTATTAGTTACTTCACATAGTTATGTCAATTTGAGTGGAAAATTGATGTCTTTAAGACACTGAGTTTTAATCTTTGTGTATAGTATAACTTCTTTTTTACTTGTATTCTTCCATGTTTTCCTGAAAAACTTCACACTGTTTTTCCACAGTGGTTTACTTATCTTCTTTATACCTGTGAGTTAGAGTAGAAGCTGTCAAGCTAAAGCCTACAGGACACAATCTGTATGTACCCCAGTCTTTTTAAGGCCAATAATGCAAGGGTGCTAGTTAAGAATTGTATAAGTAATGGGGAAAAAACGTAAAAGAATGTGAAATGACATGTAAAAGTCATGTGAAAATTAGAATTTTGGTGTCCACCAATACTTTTATTGGAACACAGTAATACCTCAGTTGAAGAATACTTCTGTTTGTGAACAATTTGGTTGGCAAACAGAAACATTCTGCAAAATTTGCTTCCATTTGCAAACTCTGCATCTGCTGACAAACATGACCTCAGCCATCTTCCCCACATGAACACAAATGTGGCCATCTTCCCTAGAATCATAGAATAAGTTAAGTTTGTGAACCGAGTTACTGATGTATGTGTATTCATTATTGTGCGATAGCATTTGTGTTATAGGTGACATAAGTGGTTGTTCCAGTGGTGTCTGGCCTGCAGATCACAAAATGTTGGCTATCCAGTGCCTCACAGAAGAAGTTTTCCCACCTCTGACTTAGAGATATTTGTCTTATGTTTTTTATGTATCGAGGATTGTTTTGTATGTTGAGATAAAGGTTGGGTAAGGTTTCGATTTCCTTTTCATCTCCAGTTTCAGTAAGGCGTGAACTTGTACTTATGGTGCTGACCAAAATGAGTCCCATTCTTCATTTAGATTTGAGCAGAGTGAGAGGTTGGAAACTTGCTATCATAATTAACATAGTAATCATTATACTTATTTTGCTTTTTGGTTTGAGGGATCTACTGTTAATAAAGTACAACTTAATTTATCTTTTTACTGATTTCCCCCTCTATAGGAAATTAAACGAGAGACGGACTCTAAGGATGACAATTTGCCTATCAAACGAGAGAAGCATGGAAATGTAGCAAGTCTTGTACAGCGAATAAGCACTTACGGCCTTCCAGCTGGAGGAATTCAGCCGCATCCACAAACCAAAAACATTAAGAAGAGTATGTAAATGATTCCATTCCTGCTTAATTATGCCAAAATAGGAGGATATGTTCTAGCTGTTCGTATATTCAATTCTCTACAGCAGACTGTAGTAACTTCACCTTACTCTCATGTTACTGGTTACTGGCCTGTCTTCGTTGCTTTTTTCTCATTGCTGAGACAAAATACCCAATCCCCAAAATTAAGGAAAGAAAGGCTTATTTAGCATACAGTTTGTGGAGGTTTCAGTCCATACTTGGCTGGCTCCAAGGCAGAGTGGTGCATGGCAGAGGGCAAAGGGCAGAAAACAGCAAAAGCAACAAGAGCAAAAGGGAGGAGGGGTGGCAGGCAGCCTCTTTCCCTCCCTTACATTGTATGCAAAGTCTGCCCCAGGGCAGGTGTAGCACTCACATCCATAATTCCAACATTGAATCATGAATCAATCATAAACTGTAGAAGCCCTCCCAACTCCTGGTACCAAATTCTGTCTTGGCTACTTTTTTCTCATTGCTGGGACAAAGTACCTGACACCTAAAATTAAGGAAGGAAAGGTTTCTTTAGCTTACAGTTTGTGGAGGTTTCAGCCTATACTGGGCTGTTTCCAAGGTAGAGTGACACGTGGCAGAGGACAGGCATTCATGGTGGTGGAATGCAGCAAAAGGGAGGAGTGGCAGAGAGTAGCAAGCCACTTTCCCTCCCTTATATTGTAAGCAGGTAATCTTCACCCAGGGGGCATGTGGCATTCACATAATTTCTATGCCCTCCTCTTGTATAGGCTCAGGATGAATACAAAGGAAGCACCCTGGCTCCCTGCTGAGTCACATAGTTAAACTTTTCAAATTGACACAATAAACAACATCCCAGAAGGGTAAGGGTATGTTCTTCTTACGCCAAGATGCAGAATTACTGAGTCACTTGGGCAAACCTCTACACTCCCCAAGTTAACACAGTGTATCAACTACAACATGGCCCATGTAGTAAATCTTCAGTTTTAGTCATGTGGAATCTGTAATATATTGGTACCCAGCATGAGTATCTGACAGCCACCTGTAGGAATTATAAATTGACATATAAGGTATTGCTTTCTTATTAATATTAGACTCTTTTAGATTAACACCTTAACTGTACTCTGTAACATTTATTTATTAGAACGCTGAAATGTCAGATCATCTATAGCAGTGTAGACACAAGAATTTTAGATAGTTGTTTTTCTTCAGTGGTTAGATACCTGAACATAGCCATTTAATATCCAGAGAGATTGGCCCAGCAGAGTTCCCTTTAGATACTCTTTAAATATTTTTAAGAAAATATAAATTTGTAAGAAAAAGACTTCATAGAAAAATACATAAATTTGTAAGAAAAAGACTTGATAGGAAAACTTAGTTTGTCTGTGTGTCCAACCAAAACAACCAAAAAAAACCAACAAAAAAAATCTGTGTGTTTTAAAGTGAATCTGCATGTGTTTTGATTTGTTGTAAGCAATTGAAAAGTAGATTTTTGCATGAGTCTGCTGCGGTTTGTTTAGTAGAATGAGGACTGGATTTTATTGGTGTGGTGAACAGTTTTTCTCTAGACCTCTCTGTGTGTTGTTGGCTTATGTAGTCATGAGGCCAGTGAAACTTGTGCTACCACACTTCATTATGCAAATTAATTTCTCTGGTAAAACAGGTATTTTTCCAGAGCAAGAGTTATGTTGTTTGAGAAAAAGTTGGTAGCAAAAGTCTCTGAAGAGAACAAGTTTGCATTTCTTAAAACCAAAACAGATACAAATTACATTACTTGTCACACCTTTTTAAAATCAAACACAAAGATAGTGGTAGGGCCAGTGATACAGCTCAGTGGCACAAGCACCTGCCTGGCAAGTGTAAGGTTCTGAGTTTGATTCCTGGTACCAAAAAAAAAAAAAAAAAAAAAGATTGTGGTAGAGTACTGTGCTTAGATGTAAAAAGTTGGCATCTTTTGACTTCTCTCTCTTTTTTTTTTTGGTACCAGAAGTCAAACTCAGGACCTTACATTTGCCAGGCCGGCACTTATGCTGCTGAGCTATATCCCCAGTTGACTTCTTTTTTTTTTTTTTTCTCCGGTACCGGGAACTGAACTCATGACCTTGCGCTTGCCAGGCAGGCGCTTTGCCGCTGAGCTAAATCCCCAGCCCTCCCAGTTGACTTCTCAACTCTGTGTTCAGTGTGGAATATTAGTACTTAATTCACTTTACATTTGAAAGAAATTGATCCCACATGGACTCTGCTGTTGATGTCACTGGTTGCTGACTTCCTTTGTGAGCAGAAAGTGATGCTACGGAGAAGTGATTATTTTTTTATCTAGTTAATAATTTCTTGAATGAAAAGGTACATTGAGATTGGTACTGGTAGATTACTTGTAGGTGTACTGAAAGGAATTATGTTGCACATGAAAAACTAGTTGACGGAATACTACACATTGCTTCAGTTCCACAAAATGTGGTAGGGAATAGTTTGCTTCCTGTCTGAGTCAGTGCTGGAGACACTAGTGAAGATTTTGTGTGTTATCAAATTATGGCCACTGTCTGCATTTTTGTAACATACCTTTTGGAAGAATGGATATATTAGTTCAGGCTCTGCTCTTTGATGTGGAAATACTCTGATGTCTGTGGAAGAAAGATTCATTCAGATGACTCCTTCCTGGCCGGGCTTGGTGGCACATGCCTGTAATCCCAGCATTTGGGAGGCTGAGACAGGTGGATTGCTATGAGTTGAAGGCCAGCCTGGGCTACAAAGTGAGTTCAAGGCCACCCTGAACTGCATTGGTCTCAGAAAGACTCCTTCCTGGTACAGCCTTCTAATGGGAGATAGGACATTGTTTTCTATCTTTTTAAAAAATTTAAGTCTACAAAAAGGTGAAGGAATAGTTATGCAGTGAACCGGTATGCCCTTCTCCTAAGTTTGCAGTTAACATTTTGTCACATTGGCTTTGTTGTCTTCTTCTTTTTTTTTTGTTTTGAGACAGATTCTCACCTTGTGGTCCAGACAGGCCTCCAATTTAGCAGTCTCCCTGCATCAGTCTCCCAAGTGCTGGGATTACAGATGAGCGCCACCACGCCCTTTGGTTTCTTTCTTTCTTCTTTTTTTGGTTTTGTATTCTATATACAAATATCTATATACAAATATCTATATACAAATACTACTACTTTTTTCACTTAATCGTTGAAAATACATTGCAGACATTGTGTTTTACTCTTGATGAATTTTTTCTTTTTGGTACCAATAATGTTTCTAAGATTTTAAGTGTTAAGTAATGTATCTTAGAAGTATAGCTAGTGTCTTGACCAGCTTGAACCTTTCATGTCATGGTATAAATACGAGATTCTTATTTCCAAAGATAAGACAGCATTTTTAAAGACTGAATCATATAGAAAATGGCTGAATCACTCTTAACATTTGGTGACTGTATGGTCACTGATGGAGTTGACTTCTAGAGAATTAGGTGATCTAAACGTGTTGAAACTGGCCTTAGTTAGAACTCAAGACTTCTGACTTCCAAGCACGTGATAGTTCTCTTGCAGCATTGCATCTTTCTGTTTAGAAAGCATTTAGAGATATTTATGGTCAAGATTTGATGTAGTGAAATTCTGATTTTTTGCATTACTTCTCAGGATTCTTCTTTGTTGCCACCTGTCAAACCCTATTTTGTTGGTAAAAATACCCCTTTGATCCAGAATGTCTGTCACATTTGTCTTACTAATTCTTGCATACTGTGTTGTTCACCTTTCCCTGTATAACTCTATTCTTCCTGAAAGACATCTATTTCTCCTTTAATTCAGACTGTACTTTCTGTTAACTTTTGGAATACTTGAAGTTTGTACTGTTTTACTAATTGTGTGTTCACGCAGATCACTAGTTGTTTAGTTTTTCAAGTGTACATTTAAATTATTAGGAAGAATATTGGTAGGATTGTTGGTGGTAGGCTGCTAATGAATTGTGGCCCTTCTGGGACAATATTAGTTGATGATCTGCATGGTTAAACCTAAATGCTTATTCATTAACTCATTTGCAGATGTTTAATGGATGCTGCTGTGGTTTGAATGATAGTCCAAAACTCAGGTTGAAGCTTAATCCTCATTGTGGTGGTATTAAGAGATGGGGTCTTTGGCAAGTGTTAAGAGGGCTGTGTCCTGGTGAAGAGAGTAGTACCTTGTGAAAGGGCCGAGGACAGTAGCTTTCTGCCCTTCCACCTCGGCCAAAGTGATGACTATATAGCAAGGGGGTACTCACTACACATTGAACTTCCTGGCACCTACTAGCCTTCGGAATATGACAAAAAAATTCTATTTATAAATTTTTCAGTCTCAGAATTTTGTTAAACAGCACAGACTAAGATCGATACATTGTGCAAACCAGGCTCTTACACTGGCTGCTGGAAAGAGAGCAGTCAACAAACCCAGTGTCAGTTATTCTTTAGCCTGTAGAGTAGAAGGGGATACTCACAAGAAAACAAGTCACTGCGTCGTGTTAAGAGGAAAAAGGTGAGTTATCAGTACTAGGTAGGATATGACTTCGGTCAGGCAGGGTGTGTGACACTGTAGAAGCACAAAGGAAGAATCCCTAGTCTATAAGGTTGTTTGAGAGTTAGTATTTTCTAATTGAGAACTGAAAAGGAATTGAAGCAAGACAAAGTGAGCTTTATGGATGAAAGCATCCTTGGTGAAAGAAACAAGATACTTAAGTTTCAGAAATAATTGGGAATGTCATGTTCAAGGCATACGTTCTGTTTAGTCACCTGTGTGGGCCCTGTGATGAAAAACATGGTATGTGACTTAAAGTGCTCTTTTTCTTTTTTGTCTTTTTGAGACAAGGTCTCCCTATGTAGTTCAGGCTGGCCTTGAGCTTACTTTGTAGCCTAGGCTGGTCTTGAACTTGCAGCAATTTTCCTGCCTCAGCGTCCCGAGTCCTGGGATTACAGGGGTGCACCACCATGCCTGGCAAAAGTGCTTTTTCAAATGATCTTTTAACCTGATTTTTTCTCTTTGTTTCCTTTAGGGGCCAAGAAACGTCAGTGTAAAGTTCTCTTTGAGTATATTCCACAGAACGAGGATGAGCTGGAGCTGAAGGTGGGAGATATCATTGATGTTACTGAGGAGGTAAGGATGCCATGGGAGTGGTAACCAGCTGTTATACAAGTGATAGTCTGAGTTTAAAAAAATGCTTTGGAAGAATTTATGCCAGTTTGTTTTTAATAAAATTTAAAGGTGTAGATTTTCTTTATTCATCCATGTTCTATACTAGTATTTATATATTATAGCTATATATATATATATACATATATGTATATATATCACTCGAGGAATTAGAAAAAAATATATTGTAAGCTAAAAATGAAAAAATGAGAGCATGGAAGAGTTTTTTTGTGATACCGAATTTACTACAGGCACAGAGCAGAAGAGTTTTTTTGTGATTCCGAATTTATTGCAGGCACAGAGCAGTACCTTTTGCATAATAAAGGGATGCAAAATAGAAGCTTGTTGAAGCCTTCCTGTGTTGGAATTTTTTTTTTTTCCTGGTACCAGGAATTGAATTCATGACCTTGCGTTTGCCAGGCAGGTGTTGTGCCGCTGAGTAAATCCCCAGCCCCTGTGTTTGAATTATTATAATCAAATATTATCCATAAATACCTCTTCTGCCTGGGCATGGTGGTGCACGCTTGTAATCCCAGCACTCAGGAGGCTGAGACATGAGGATTGTTACTAGTTCAAGGCCAGCCTGGGCTACCTAGTGAGTTCAAGCCAGTCTGAACTACATAGTGAGAAATTATCTCAAAATAAACAAACAAACCACTCCCCCACTTTTCTATAGTCTTAATATTTTAGAATGAGATATAAAAGCATTTTAAAAGTCACTTTTCATGTCTCTGCTTTCATCATTGAAGGAGTATTAAAGTTTCGTTTGGCACAGGGAGATCCCATTTTCAAAGCATATATTTTGATTCATACCGTACTTTAAGTGTAATTTGCCACTAACGTTTATGTTAACTTCTGGTGTATTTATTCAAAAAAACAGTTCTAAAAAAACCAAAAAATAGTTCTGTTTTATTTTCGTGTGGTCACAGTAATGAAACATTTATTGAGCCTGTGTTATATCTGAAATACTCTGCTCTTTCACATTTATTATTTCCTTTAAACTTCTAAACAATCTAACATGAGAAGAATTTTTGGGTTTTCATGTTTGTTTGTTTCGAGACAGGGTAGCCCAGACTGGCCTTGAACTAGTAACAATCCTCATGTCTTGCTGTGTGATTCAGGCTGGTCTTGAACTCATGGCTGACCTCCTGCCTCAGCCTCCCAAATGCTGGGGTTACAGACGTGTGCCACTACACCTGGCCTCAGGATGAGAATTTTTATCCTCACTTTGTACAGGGAGAGATTACAGATAAGTGATTGGCTGAGGCAACAATGCTTGTGGTTGTGTGGGTCAGGAGTTCAGATGAAGCATTACAGGTCTAGCTGCCTGTGTCCCATAGTGTCTGGGGCCTCAGATGGAGGGTTCAAAGCTGGGGAGTGGTGGAGTCATAGTAACGTTCTTGTACTCAAAGTCTAATGCCTATCAACCTCACAGGCTAGAGCTGCTACCCAGAGAACCATTTTGTAGCCTTTATTTAGGTTGGCTTTCTTACAGCTTGGGGGCTTCTGAGTACTCAGATGTATAATATTGAGCACCCCTAATCTGAAAATATGAAATATTTTAAAATGTAAACCTTTTTGTATACTGATGTAATGCTCAAGCTGAAAAAGTCTCAGATTTTTGGAGTGTTTTGGATTTTTGATTTTTGGTTAGGGATACTCAATTGGAAATGTTGATACAAATATTTGAAAGTTTGAAAAACTCCGAGATCTGAAATGCTCTGGTTCCAAATATTTTGAATAGGGGCACTGAATTTGTAACTTGAAGCAAGTTCACAGCTCTGAGTGTAAGCATTTCAGCAGGTGTGTTGAGCTGCCTTTACAGTGTAGCCTTGGAAGTGCTAGTGTCACTTCCACTGTGTTTTGTTGGCTACAAGTACAGCCCATTAAGATGGAAGGCGAAGGACACAAAGATCACTTCTTACGGGAAGAGTGTTCAGACCACAGTTGTGAGATGGAGATCTTAGTGTTTAGTGCAGCCATTTTCACCTAACCTTATGTGTGGTGTAGGGGAGTCTAAATTTAAATCCATGCAGTCTGTTCTTGAATACGTGTTCTTTACAACTATGCTGTTCTGCCTCCCAGGAATTCCTGGACTAAGTAAGCCTTGATTACACTTGCAGATTAATTACATACTTGCAGATCGTTAAGGTTCAAGTACAGATGATAATCTGATGTTTCTGTCTCTTTGCTGTGCAGTTTGGTCCACTTAACCCCATCCCATCTGTTGTGAATCACTTGCAGTCCTCTGGTACTTCCTTAAGTCTGCTAAAAAGTTTAAACGGTTCATGCTTACTCCATTACCTTGCTCCCTCAGACAGCTTGTATTCTACCTTTCATGAACAAATCGTTTATTTTTTTATTTTTTATTTTTTCCGGTACCGGGAATCAAACTCACGACCTTGCACTTGCCAGGCAGGTGCTGTGCCGCTGAGCTAAATCCCCAGCCCCAAATCATTTATTTCTGTGTTGCCGTATTTTTCATATGCTTTTTACTTGGAAAACTCTTACTCAGGTTTTAATATATTCTTTTGTCCTTTGAGATGGAGTGTTTTTTGATTGATTCAGGCATTTGCTTTGTGCTTCCATAACATTTTGTTTATATTTTTATTATAGTACCCCTTACATTGTATTATAACTATCTCCTTATTGTTTATATTCTTCCTTAAATTGTTCTCTTCAAGGGCACGGATTTCCTACAAATTTGAATTTCTTTCTAGTAGTTAACAACATGACTTGTACATAGTAAGTGCCTGTGGGATGAATAACTTAAAAGTTTGCTGTGAGATTATGATTAGTCAGGAAATAAGATCTTTCTAGCTATGATGTTTCATATACTACAGCTAAATAAATGTTGATAGTTTACATCTTAAAAATTGCTTTCACTCAGTAAAATTAACTGGTTAGCTTCCTTGGCAGAAATCATACATTTTGAAAAAATTATTAAATAACCTCGTGGAAACAGAGTAATGTTGTTATTAATGAGTGTAAATTTTTTTTGTAAGAGTTTGATTCATAAGGATATTTCTGTTTGAGTAAGGGTGTTTAGTAGAGTCTGATACCTGAATTTTTAAAAGTAAGTAATTCTTTTTTATACTTTGGTTAAAAAAATCACTGTTCAATGAAGGATTAGTAATTTTTTGTGATATTTAGGACGTTACATTTTTATAGTCATCAAGCTGTTTCCAAGTCAAAAATTTCTAAATACAATAAGTAATGTAGGTCATAATAGTAATGTTCACGAGTGACATTCTAAGAGAGCTCTGTACATCTTGCCGTTCATACTTCTCTATGCCTATCTCATACTTTCATGAAAAATACTTCACAGACAGTGTTCCCTGTAAGTGTTGCAAGGTGCTATCAATGCAGTTAGTCCCATACATGCTAATCCATTTAGGTGTAATCCACTTAAAAGGTATCTTCCCCTTTGTGTTTTCTGCTTTAAAGGGTTTATTTTGCATCATGGGTACGTCTGGTTTTGAAGCTTCATTTTCCCACAGGGTAGGATTTTCTCTTAAAAGAAATTTTTAGCATTTTTGAGTTGTGTGCTCTTTCAGGTGGAAGAAGGCTGGTGGAGTGGAACTCTGAACAACAAGTCCGGATTGTTTCCCTCGAACTTTGTGAAGGAGCTAGAGGGCACAGACGACGGTGATGCCCTGGAAGCCCAGGACGAGCCAGGTAGAAAACATGTTCCTGTGTAGATTTAAATATGCTTGCTATAGGCCTGCCATTGGTTTAGTAATTTTTGAAACTGCGTTCTTACTTACTTTCAAACTTTCAGTCACCTTCACTTAGTCTGTTTTTGTAAAGGACATTATGATGAAGATAGAAGGGAACTGATTATTGAGTCCAGTGATGGCAAACCTTTTAGAACTTTCAATGATACAAACAGCCTGTTGTGGAATGCATGCCATAGGTTTGCCACCACAGATGGAATAATTTCAGATCTTTCCTTTTCTGATTTCTGCTTTAAGCATAAGTATACCTTTACTACGATGACTGAAAATGCTACTTAAGTTATTTGCTTTCTTCCTACTTTGTAGGATACATTTACTATGTACTTTTGAGCTCTGAGTTTGCAAATACCTCACACTTGAGATATTTTAGAAATTAAAAAAATCTTTCCCTTTATTGTTTTTCAATTCACATAGTAGATTTTTCTCTGGGCACTTGTTGTTTTGTGATGTCATTAGTATACACGAATTCATCTTAATTTGCTAAGTTTTCAAGAGTGTGATTCTGAAAATTTTTACCCTAGGTCAGGTTTGTTACTTTAAAATGTTGCTGTTGGACTTAGGAGAAAATTTTTTAAAAAGCGGAATTAAATTTGCAAATGGTAAGCAGGGATGAGTAGATCTTTTTCTTTTCTAGGGATTGAATCTAGCACCTTTATACTGAAGTACAACGCCAGCCCTTTTTAAATTGTGTGTTTTGAGACAGGGTATTACGAAATAGCCCAAGTCAGGCTTGAATTTACAGACTTTCTGTCCCAGCCTCCAGGAGTACTGGGATTACAGGTGTATGCCACCATGCTAAATATAGCTAAGTAATGTTTCTCTTAATGGAAGAGTATGAATAGTGAGGATATTCATGGACTTACTCTTGTATTAGCTAGTTCTTGACAGTTTATGATTGTTTTCTGAGTTAGTGTAATGTCCAGGTATTGAAACTACGTACCATGCTGAGGTATAGCTCACTGGCATAGTGTTTGCCTAGCACGTGCAAGGTCCTGGACTCAATCCCCAGCAGCACTGGGAAAAATAGAAAGCAAAGAATCATTCCAAACAGTGAGATGAAGAGATCAGGTTGCTCAGTCTGTTGTGTGCCAAACTTCCTCTCGTGTCCTGCAGGTACACTGGCCTTTAACATCTCACTCTAGATATCCCATACCAAAGTATGGGATACCTAGGTGGGGCTAGATATCCCATACCAAGGTAGGGCTTCCAGGATGGCAGCAGCTATGTCCAACTGTAATTCTCTGTTTGCAAAAGAGGAGTAATAATAATTATTACCTAAAAGGGTTGTTGCATGGATTAACAAGTTCCCAAGCATACTGCTTGTGTCATAGAGGATTGTTTTGAACTATTTCTTTTACTTTCTTTTGTCGGTACTTTCTTTTTTTTTTTTAAGAATTTGCAAATATTTTGAAATTAAGTAGGAAACATTATAAGGTCGTGAGTGTAACATGGATTTATAAATCATAATGTACTCATGGTGTAAGGGGTGATGCTGCTCCGAGGTTTCTTAGTGGATGAAGCTGGGCAGTGCTTGCACAGAGGCATCCTCAGCTATGTCTCTATCTGTCACCCACCTGTACCTGTGTATCTCCCTTTCTCTACTGGTACCTGTAATTCCAATTTAATACCACAGGGTGTATTCTAATTTCTCATGATTTCATTTCTAAGCCCATCAGTCATAGGTGTGCACAAAGAAGAGGATATTCATTTTCAGCCATACTATCATCAGTGTTAGTCCTTTATTCTTCCTTTCCTTTAACTTCCATGCCTTTCTGTGTATAGTTAACCATATTTGAAGAGTGATATGATAAGGTTGTCATTCTTTAAAATCATATTGTTCTTTCAGACTCTGTTCTGACTTCACCTTTACCTTCTCCGGGGAACGGTGGTGAGACTGCACCAGGGACAGTCACTCAGCCAAAGAAAATTCGAGGAATTGGGTTTGGAGACATTTTCAAAGATGGCTCTTTGAAACTTAGGACGAGAACATCCAGCAGTGAAGCAGAAGAGAAAAAAGCAGAAAAGGTGGTAATGATGAATTTAACTTAGATTACCTTTATTCATTCTCAAACATTTTAAAACATAAAAGCTTTACAACTCTGCTACCTTTCTTCTTTTGAGATTATAATACTTACATTATAAATGAAAAGTCTAAGGGAAACTTTTCTCTCCACATGTATAATAATTAATGTTCTTATGTGTGAATTTTTAAAATTAGGATGCTTGTTTCTTGGTAAATATTTTCTAGAGGTTTTAGGGTTTTCAGTTATCACAATATAAATGGAAAAAGGAAGAGGTTTTCTGTTTTTTTTTTTTTTTTTTTTCCTTTTTAAGTTAAAATTTTATTTTTCTTTTAATTTGAAGTACACCTAAAATGAGCTGTTTTAAAATGAATTCACAATGAGGTACAAAATTAATTAGGTGTTAAACTTTTCTCTAGATTGTCAGTAATGGTTACATTTACCGATCTGTCCTGAAAGTATGAATTTTTTTTTTTTATTAGTGTTTTACTGGCATTGTCAAATGCAGCAAAGTTCATGAATCATAATTTGTAAGATTTAATAAACTGCTTTAAAATAAACCTGTAAGTTTTTATTTTGAGGTAAAAATAACTTCTAAAAATAACTTAAAACATTCCTTGCAAAGATTTTGCTCTTCATGCTCATATTTTGGAGGTTCAGATTATTTACTTTGGATAAGAGACATCTTTAAGGAGAGTATTTCTCCATAGTTCTCATTTATGTCTACTCTAAGGCTAAAATATTTCCATATCTATTTGCTTAGTTTTAGCTACATTTCATTTATAAGACTGTTTTGATTAGTTAAATATTTTCTGTATTTTTCTGTCAAAATGGTTGGCTTTGACCTTTCTTTTCTTTTTTTTTTTTTTTTTTAAAGACAGGGTCTCATTATGTAGGGCAGGCTGACCTTGAATTTGGTTATGTAGCCCAGGCTGGGCTGGAACTCATGGGGATCCTCCTTCCTCAGCCTCCTGAGTTCTGGGATTACAGGCATGCCACCATGCCTGGCTTGACATTTCATTTTCTTTCTTAGTTTGCTACATATACTCTTATGTAAATAGTAAGTTGGGTTCAGGAAAATGAACTTCTGCTTTGTACTCTGTTCTTTCCTACCTCTGAGACTGTGTAGTACTAGGATTTTAGGGTCCAATAGACTGGAATTCTCAGTTTTTGAAACTGTGCTCTAGTCACATAACAGAAATGTTGGAGAACCACTTCTTATGTTGTGAGGGACATTAGGTAGACGATGTGGAGTCCCTTCCAACTCCAAATGCTTAGGATTATATTGGATAACGATTACATTAGTAATTACATTAGTAAGATTACATTAGTAATCTTAACAATCACCATTAATAATGTCTACTACTCAGAGTTCCTGGTGAGTGTTGCCTCAGTTCCCCTTGGAATGAAATTGGAAGCACATTTGCTATGTGTGTAGATGATACCAGGTTTAAAAGTAGGGTGGTGAAGATTGGGAGAAATTAAAGGTAGTGTCTTAGAAGATAAACACAAAACACGGTGATAGTTAAGTTAGCCATGTGTTCAAATATCTTATTAAATCTGAGGTCAAATATGCTGTTATTTCTGGGGAAAGAGCTCGAAGAGGCATTTGTTCAAAGTAGTAAAGAATTTATTATAGTTAGTTACAACAGAGAATGGCTATGTGGACTCTGTAAGGGATATAACATTACCTAAACATTTTCAGTTGGAGAGTAGTGAAATATAAAGAACTGTCTCATTTTTAAGGTTTTGTGCTAACAGTCCACTTTCTGGAGTCAGACTTTATAGGTTCTGATCTGGGCCCCACTAATAAATTATTGTTATGTTGGGAGATTATTTAAATGCTTCCTGATCTACAAAAGGGAAGAATGACAATGCCTATTTTGTGCACTTAGATATGAGCATTAAAATATATGTAAAGTGCTTTTATTAATTCTCATTTAAAACTTCTAAAATTAAATCATGATAATGCATTAATTAGCAACAGAGAATTAAGTTTTAAAAATTAATATGCATTACCATTTAAGGGACTTTTCAGAAAATTGGGTAACTGCAAATAGAAACTCTTGTTTAATAATATCCTCATGTTTTTGGTTTTTTTTTGTTTGTTTGTTTTTCTTCCAGTACCAGGAATCGAACTCACGACCTTGCGCTTGCCAGGCAGGCGCTTTGCAGCTGAGCTAAATCCCCAGCCCCTAATAGCCACATTATTATAAGTTAAGTTAATTGACGGCATCCTTTTCCATTTTATCCCTTAATAATACAGTCTCTAGGACCCAAAACCCAGAATGTGGAGATAACAAAAACAGACACTGAAGGTAAAATTAAAGGTAAGTTTTTCAAAAAACGTCCATAGGAGAGACATTCTCAAATACGTTGCTAAACTTGTTGGAGCCATTTGTTATGTTACTGAACAGAATATTAAATCCTGCTGGAGTGAGCAGCGTGAGGTTAGACTCTGGAGTACTGTGTTCACTGATACACTCCAGCAGCGAGGGCTGTGCCTGGGATGTAGCAGACCTTAGTGTATATTTGAAGAATTATTAATAGAATTATTTCTTAGCATACATTATTGGCTATAGGTTTAAGTTTTAAAATACAAATTTGAGTTATTTCTCATAGGTACTAGTATATTTTACTTTTTGTGAAATAGAGGCTTGGTAAGTATTTACTGAATCGGTCAATTTCTGTAAGCCACTATTTCCATTTTTCATTTCAGCGAAGGACTATTGTAGAACATTATTTGCCTATGAAGGTTCTAACGAAGATGAACTGACTTTTAAAGAAGGGGAGATAATTCGTTTGATAAGTAAGGTAAGGATTTTTTTCAGTGAGTCATTTAACTTATTTGTAGAAATTTTTCAGAATTCTACATTATCCCTCGAATAAGTTCTGAAAGAACTGGGACTTTTGTTTGTTTTTGGGTCCACAGGTCTTGGTACATAAGTGTGCAAAAGGATGTTTTGTTTTTGTTTTTGCTTTTATTTTTTTGAAACAGGGTCTTGTGTGGTTCAGGATGGCCTTGTAGTTACTGTGCTCAAACTTAGCGGTGGTCTACCTGCTTCAGCCTCCTGAGTACCGGGATTATAAGCATATGCCAGCATCTCTAGCCAGAAAATTATTTTTTTAAATCTAACTTTTATTGTCTACTTTTGTTATAATTGATAGAGTGCAAGTTGGTGAGTGATCGCATTGGTTTTCCTTTATTTTTAAAAAAATTTTAAGAAATTATTATTTTTTGGTTACTCTTCATTAACCTGAGCTTTCCAGATTTCTGTTCTCACTTCTATGCCATTTCCCCAATTTATTGTTTGGAGCATTATTCATAACATACAAAGAAGGAAAATAGGGAAACAACCTAAGTGTCCATCAATATGTATCATGAAACTTTAGCCTGTGAAAAATGATGTAGTTATTTCAACACATGAAGTGATTTTTATCGCTTGAAATGAATTGAGATAAAACAATAGTAAAACCCCATAGTATTTGAACAGATGGAATAATACAATTACTTATAAGAAGACTACAAATTTTTTGGTTATAATCCTATAGAATAATTTAAAAAGTTTTTCCCATTGTTTTAAATTGACTTTGTTTTCAGATGGTTTAGTGTATGTAATTTTTAAAAAATAACTTTCATCTTAGATTTAAAGTATATGATATGTTATAAAATACAAAGAGATAGTGAAAATTATGAGAGTGAAGCAGTGAATCTATGCATGATCTCCCTTAGTAACCCATGTGGTAAAGCAAGTAGAATCTATTTGCCATGAGTCTCATGATTGTGATTTTTTTATGTTTTTGAGGTTGGGCAGTGACACCTAACTTTTCATGCAAGGATGATTTAGGGTTAGGGTGAGGCTGGGTATTTGGAAAGAGCTTAGAAAAGCTTGTTAATTTCTGATGTTGCTAAATAAATATGTTTAATATGTAAAGTGTTAAGAATGTTGAGTTTAGAAATTTATATTCTTCTCTTTACCTTCTTTTTTACTTCCTTTCCTTCAGTCTTTCTTTCCCCCTGAGAGCCTTTTAACTTGTGGATGAAATTTCATAGTTGAGTTATTTTTAAAAAGTAAACCCAAGTTTTATAACTACTGCTAAAAGTAATATGTAGGGACTGTTTCTTTCAGAAGGACTTTGTGATCTGCTTAGGTTCTTTTTTTTGCTAAAGATTATGGAATTTTAGAATTTTTCCTACTTTATTGTAAACTTTTCCTTCATTTTATGTTAACTCTCATTATTTTAATTAGTCTTTGTTTTGCTTTTTAGGAGACTGGAGAAGCTGGCTGGTGGAAGGGTGAACTGAACGGGAAAGAAGGAGTATTTCCGGACAACTTTGCCATTCAGATCAGTGACCTGGACAAGGACTTTCCTGTAAGCTTCTGTTTTTCAATGACAATTGTCTAACATTTTCCAAGTATTTTTTTTTTTTTTTTGGTATTTTGGTTTTTCTCCGGTACCGGGAACCGAACTCACGACCTTGCGCTTGCCAGGCAGGCGCTTTTGCCGCTGAGCTAAATCCCCAGCCCCTTCCAAGTATTTTTTTTAAAAAATACTTTTGCGTTGTCATTGGATAATTTTTATGGAGTTTCATAAAGTTATATGTTTAGGTAAAAGTTGTTTGAATTACAATAAAACAACAGAGTATTTCAGTTTTGTGCTTATAGCCCATGTCCCCACTATGTATGTACTAATGAGTTACTTTAGAGTTCTTCATAATTTTTAAGGCTTTTGGATAGTTGATAAATTAGTCATTTCCCAGATTAAAAGAAACTATTTGTATTTAATTGTGAAAATTTCAAGGTACTGTGAAACAAAAGTTTTTGCCTCTTTATGGGATTTACTGTTCAGCAGTTTGCAAAGAAAATCATTTTTCAGTGACCTTTTGCTTGTGACTTGATCACTTCCCCCTCAGAATTTATGATATAAAGAAGAGGACAGTTCAACAGTGGAAGTGCGTTGGAAGCAGACCGTCGGACGTAGTGTGGGCAGTGCAGCATCTTCAGGCTTCACAGTCTCCTGTTTACCTATGTAGACTGTTGTTGGCCGTTATGCTAGGGAGGCATAGGCTGTCTGAGTTATTTTGCTCTATGGTCTGCAGCATCAGTTCAGCCATTGGTATAGTTTTTTTTTTTATTTATTATTTTTTTGTTTTTTTTTCCGGTACTGGCAGTCGAACTCACGATGTTACGCTTGCCAGGCAGGCACTGTGCCCCTGAGCTAAATCTCTAGCCCCCATTGGTATAGTTAATTTCTACACTTTTTAAAAATGAACACATTACTTTTTCTGTTTTTATTATGTGTTTACACATTGTTTGTCATGTATTCCTTTTCTTTTTTTTTGGCTTTTTTGAGACAGGGTCTCACTATGCAGTTCAGGTTGACCTTGAGCTCATTTTATAGCCCAAGCCAGTCTCGAACTTGCAACGATCCTCCTGCCTCAGCCTCCCAAGTGCTGGGATTATAGGCATGTGCCACCATGCCCAGCTTGTCATGTATTCTTAATTTATTCTTACTTTAGATTTTTAAGGCATTAAATCCTCTTAAAAATGAGTGAAAGCTTATAAATTAAGAGAGGTCCTTCATTGCCTTGAATCTTCCCTTTGAGAGTTCTGAAGAGTAAGAATGAAAGTCTGGTTATTACTCTTTTTGAAGTCTTACTATTGCTCTTATTTTTTATTAAACAAGAGTTGTGGCTTAGAAGTGTAATGAGCTTAGGAATCTCAAGCTAGCGAAGACAGGATGAATATTCTTGCTGAATAGGGCTTTTTGGGTTTATCTAGTGTGTTGACAATTTTTGAAATGTTTGACCAAATTTTATTAAGGAGGCTCTTCTAATGGAATGAGTTCAGTGGCTTTCTGTGGTATTGTTAGGGTCTTGGCATTTTATTGCTTTTGGCAAGGATAAGCTAAGGAGAGTTCCTTACATAATTATCAATAATCAGAATTTAACTATAATATGCAGCTAGTTGACCATTTTTACCATTGTTATGTTAACAGAAACCAAAGAAACCACCACCTCCTACCAAAGGCCCTGGTATGTAAAAAAAAAAATGTTACTCTGTTTGCCTTTCTTCATGGTTTTATATTCTAAAATGATGATTGAGTCTAATGTAAATCATTCAGTTTTTTAAAACACACAATGTATATGTAAAATTGTCTAGCACTGTACAAAAACTGAGTGTTCACATGCATTGTTATCCATTAGTTTTTTTAAAAGTACAAATGGTATAAAATTAGAATCTTGAAGATACTTTAGTTATGTGCAATGTTGAATTAATAAAACTTAGTTTAACGTTGTTTTAGGAAACAGTGTATTGATTGACCAGTTAGTCATTCCATGTATTTATTTCTATTTGAACAAAAATTTCTTTATATAAAGTGTTAGTGTACCCACATACGATAATGAAATAAAGTGGAACCATATGTATGTAGTTATATAATGCTGTGTAAAGTAAGTGTGCTGATGCAAAAGCTGTACAACACTAAGAATTCCCAAAGGGACCAAGCAGAGCACGCGGCAGACTCTTCTGAATTCCCAGGCTTCCTTGAGCATCAGAACCCGTTACTCTTTTAATTCTTTCCTTGTGCATTGTGCTGTGTCCACACAGTACATATGATTGGCTCTGTGGGTTTTATTTCATTTGATTCTTCACAGGCACAGATCCCTAGGTGCTCCTTTGAGAGTTGAGCATTCTTCTGTGTGCTCATTTATAGTCCCTCTGTTCCTCCAAGCAGAACTCTCTACCTTTTAGATAAAACTCACTTCTTTATATCTCAAACAAGTATCAACGTTCTGTACCCTTTCGTTTTTTTTTTTTTTTTTTTTTCTGTACCCTTTCAAAGATCATGTGTTAAGAGTTATATAAGGCAGATGAGGTTTTTCTTAAACAGTTGAATAAATTATGGTAGAGCTACAGTTGTCTTCAAGGATTAAATTTTATTTATTTATTTAAATTTTTTTATGACCACAAAGAGGCTGAAGTTTTTAACTGATAATCTGTGTATACATTATTGCACCAAGTCTGAGTAGATAACAGTTATATTAATGATAACAAACTTATGAACATTTACATAAAATTACTACTCCAGGTTTTGGTGTATTTTGTGCATTTACTTAGTAAACAGAACAAATGAACTCACTGCTGTAATTCATGAGGATCAGCTCTCGAAAAAAGCATAGTATGTGTCAGCTCAGAGTACTGACTATGTCAAACCCAGCAAAATCAATAAACTAACTGATACCAGGGGGCCTTTAAAAAAAAAGTTGATGATAAAGAGTATTAGGTTTTTGAGAATAGTTAATGATTATTCAATAGATCACTCATGTATAGCTCCGTTTATTTTCTTTAGAAGCCATTTTGAAGATACCAAAGTATAGTACAACAACTATTGATAATCTCCTACCTCTTTTGTCTGTAACTCACTATTATTTGTCTGTTTGTTTTCCTGAGAAACTATCTTGTAGATAGCAATATGTAAAACAATAACCATTGAAATTTCCTACCACTTTGTCTGTAATTTGGTAAGCCCCCCCATTATTATGTTATCCTTCTTTTACTCTTTAAAATAATAATAATAAAAAAAAGAGTATTAAGTTAAAATACTGTTTACATATTTTAACAACTGGACTTAGGAACCAGAAGTGCATACAAACTGGGAATTAAAAGAGCCCCATTCTGCTTCACAATTACTATACACTGTGAAGAAGGCATTTTCAGCTGCTACAATATCTTCTCTGTTAGTATAAACCATTGTTTCCAGACATAAAAGGCCTGCTGGGTGTGGTGACGTATACCTGTAATCCCAGTACTCAGGAGGCTGGGGCAGGAGGATGGTTACTAGTTCGAGGCCAGCCTGGGCTACAAAGTGAGCTCAAGGCCAGCTAAACTGCATAGCAAGACCCTGTCTCAAAAAGAGACAGACAGACAGACAGACACACACACACACACACACACAAACAAAATAAAACACTTTTGAAATAAGATTTTCCCTCTCAAAACTAATATGATCTTTATTAAATTACAAAGAAACTATCCAAATGCTGACCAGATGAAGAAGCCAGACCACCTTTCAGCTTTGCTGGCTGGGGCAGACATAGGTGTTACCTACTCAGATGGGGGGACCTAGGTACAGCATCAACTCTCCTCTGGCATGTAGTGTGGTGTAGACATGAGCCTTAGGCTTCCCCAGGGTTGTGTCTTATGTATACAGGACTGAGGTAGGTGGCGGGCTACATGGTGTTTAAGAAACCCTTCAGCTGAAAGGAAGGTCCCTGAGGTCCTGTCTTTGAGGAGGCTTGTAGCACAGGAAAAGAAGTGGGTTAAAAATAAGGGGAGGAAATCTTACCTCTTGATACTGTACCTCAGAACTACCCTGCAGTATGGTGCAGTGGAGTCCTTCCTTGGTACTGTTCAGGGCACATAAATGAGGCATTTGACAATAAAAAAATGTAAAAAGACCATGCCAAACCAGGTGTCATTATGCAGACTTGTAATCCAATGACTCTGGAGGCTAAGGCTGGAATACAAGGCCAGCCTAGGCAACTTAACAACCATGTGTCGCAAGAAAGAAGAGTCTATACTAAGTTAGGGTAGAAAAAACAGTATGCCACCAAGTTACCATCAGCAGTCAGGACTTATGGCCTCTGAACTTTGGAAGCCTTCAGTCTGGTTGGGAAAATGGTGAGGGAGATGTGCTCCAATGGAGATTAGTGAGTAGACACCAATTTACCTACTTCCTCGAGTCTTCCCAGGAAGGCAGTTTTCATGAAACTGGTTCTGGTTCTAACCAAGTATGCAAGAGTTAAGTGTAGGGCAGAATTCGTCATCTTTACAGAATAGTGAGTGATCCAAAGAGGGCAGTGGCTTCTTATTTTTCCCCTCATGGAAAATACAAATATCATTTCTTCTGGAATCTAATACACTGGCTACATTTTCAAAATGCATCACTGTATTTCCCCACCTGGTGGCCACACATTGTAAGCCTTAAGCACTGATAAGTCACGTGATTTCTTCAGTAAGCTCCAAGGCTCCCGGAAGCTTGCCTGGACTTTACAGCCAGAAGAGTCCTGAGGTTTCAAACATTAAAACTTTCTCCACAGCCAGAATTTCTTTTGATATTTGGGTTATGGAACACAAACTCACTGGATAATTTATCTTCAACATAGTCCGTTTCTGTTCCTAAAAGTGTCAGGTATGCTTTCTTTTTGATGGATACTCTGATGTCATCCTGAACAACTTCTTCATCAGAATCTCCTTTTGTCTTTGTGTATTCTAAAATGTAGGAAAGGCCATTACAGACCCTGGTTTGGACACCAACTTTTAAACCTGTATGGTCAGGCTAGTCTTTAAGAAATTGTTTTATCTTGTTTACTGCAGAAGGTGTCAGCGTGAGGGTGGCACTGGTGGGCTGCAGTTTCCTCTTATGGCCCAGAGGGTAGCCTGAACTAAGGAAGCCGACATCTTTGCTGTCCGGGTACCCGGCTCGCTAGGGCTGGACCTCAGACCCCTCAGCCTCTCCCACGGCCACGGTGGCACATTGATCAGGGTTAAATTTTAGAATGTGGCTATTTCTACAAGTTCTCTCCCTAAATAACTGATGTTTTATATAAAATTCTTGCTTCTTAAAAGATTTAATATCTTCTAGAATAATCCAAAGCCTGAGATTTCCCCTTGTTTTCAGCTTAATGTTTGCTGACCTAATTCCAGGAAAGCATAAATTAAAACTACAGTAATTTTTGTAGAATGTAGGATTGTAGGATTACTATAAAGCTGTACTATTTAGTATGGTAGCCAGTAACTACTGCATGGATCTTTTAAAATTAATTAAAATTCAATAAAATGCAAAATGTCAGTTTCTTAGTCACAAAAGTCATGTTTCATGTGCTTGTTAATCATATATTGGGCAACACAAAAATAGACCATTGTCACCATCAGAGACAAGTTCTGCTGGGCTGTGGTGTGGCAAGAGAATATGAACTCTGATTCCTGAGCTTGACAAAAGAAGGGTCACAGAATTGTTAGGGTAGTAGTGATATAGTGGCGGGTCCCAGATTACAAGCTGAGCTCAGTGATTTACCTTTTCTGGTAAACAGTGGTATCTTCTGGTATTAGTTTTAAACTATTGTTTATCTTTTAGTAGTGTAATTGTCTCTGCTCTAAAATTACTTTTGAAAGTAAGTGTTTACTTTGTGGTTTTATACCTCCAGCTCCAAAGCCTGACCTGATAGCTGCAGAGAAGAAGTTTTTTCCTATAAAGCCTGAAGACAAAGGTGAGGCCGACTTTCTCACCCTGTTCAGTCTTTCATTATTTTAAACAAATACATGTTTTCACAGTGAGTCATTTATATCAATTTTTGGCAGTTTTTTTTTTTTTTTTTTTCTGATACTGGGGATCAAACTCACGACCTTGCGCTTGCTGGGCAGGCGCTGTGCTGATGAGCTAAATCGCCAGCCCCCAGTTTTTGGCAAATTTATACTTATTTTGCAATGTTTGGAGTTTTTTGGGAGTAGTTTATCAGGACTGATAGGAAATGAAGCTTGCACTCAAACTGATTCCAGTTTACATTGTTTAAAAATTATTTTTTCAGTAGGACATGGTACTTGTTATTTCAAATAATATATAAGAAAATTAAACTTTAAAGAACAGAGTCATTGTTTTAATTGTATTTCAGTTAAAAATTTTAAAATTTATTTATTTATTTGAGACAGGGTGTCATTCTGAAATTCAGGCTGGTCTTGAACTCACTATGTAACCCACTTTCTCAGTCTCCTAAGAGCCGAGATTACACCAATATGACTGGCTAGTTAGAGTAAATCTTCTTTCGTTTGTTTATTTTGAGACAAGGTCTTGCTATACAGGTTAGGCTGGTCTTGAACTCACTATGTAGCCCAGGCTGGCCTTGAACTCACAGTGATCTTCCTCTCCCCAGTGTTGGGAATTACTGGTGTGTACCACCATGCCTGGCCTAATTAAAAGTAAATTTTAAAAATTCCTTTAAAGGTTATAAAACTGAGTTTCTATGTAAACATGGAAATAATAGTGTGTTATTTAAACTCATTGCATATATTTGTTGTGTAAACTTGAAAAATTACTTCAAGGTACCATATGTATTTTGTCAAAAGCATTACTTTGTTATTAATTTGAAAGAAGTACCTCTCTGTACAGAAAGACTTTCAGTGGTTGTCTCTGAGAGATTGGGTTATATAGATGCAAAAACTTAAATACTGTTGTAAAATGCTTTTGTTTGTATTGCCAAAGTTATAGTTTAACCTGACCTTGTCTCTTGCTTTAAAGTATTGTGTTTTCTTAACTGATTTCTCTAACTTCAGTACCTTGTTGGGGTTTTTTTTGGGCGGGGGGGCGGGGGGGGCGGTGGTCCTGGGAATCGAATTCATGACCACGCTTGCCAGGCAGGTGCTGTGCCACTGAGCTGTATCCCCGGCCTACCTTGTCAGTTTTTGTACTTTGTAATGTTGCCAGACTCATTACTTTTTATTTGAGACTTCTTAAAAGCAGTTTTAGGTTCACAGAAAAATTGAGTTCTCATCTACTGTCTGTCCCCACACAGGTAAAACCTCTCCAACCATCAACATCCTGCACTAAGAGTGGTGCATTTCTTACAAGTAGTGAGCCTGCATAGACATACCACATCTGAAAGTGCGTAGTATACAGGAGCATGCGCTCTTGGTGCTGTACAGTCTGTTTAATTGGACAGTGACACATAGCTCCCATCATACAGAATAAAATTCACAGCCCTAAAAATCCTCTGTACTGTCCTAGTCATCTGTCACTCTCTCTCTTAACTCTTGGCAATTACTAATTATTTTTTTTGCTGTCTCCATACTTTTGCCTTCTCCAGAGTGTTGTATAGTTGGAATCAAATAATACGTAGCTTTTCCAGATTGGTTTCTTTCACTTACTATGCATCTAAAATTTCTTCATGTCTTTTTGGGGCTCGGTATGTCCTTTTTTTGGTGTGTTTATACTAAATAATATTCTTCTGTCTGTATGTACCATAATGTTTCTTACTTAGGACTGTCTTGATTGCTGTCAACTTTTGGTGTTTATAAACAAAACTGCTACAAAACATATATGTATGTGTTGGCGTGGATATATTTTCAGTTCATTTGGGTAAACACCAAGGAGTAGGTTGCTGGATCGTATAATCACAATATGCTTAGTTTTGTAGGCAGTTGCCCTACTACTGTCTCCCCAGATGGCTACACCATTTTGCATTCCCATTGGCAGTGAGAGTTTTTGTTCTCCCTCCTTGCCAATATTTGGTGTTACCTATGTTTTGGACTTTAGCCATTCTGATAGATAGGTAATAGATTGCTTTAATTTGCAATTTCATGATGACATATGATGTCCAGCATCTTCGCACTGTTTACTTGCCATTGCATATCTTTTTTTGGTGAACTGCATGTTCAGGTCTTTTGTCTGGTTTTTAATTATGTGGTTCATTTTCTTCTTGAGTTTTGTCCTTTATCACATGTGTCAGTAGTCCTTTATCACATATATCTATTACAAATACTTCCTTTTAGTCGGTGGCTTGTTTTCTTTCTAGAGAAGTTTTAAATTTTTAAAAGTGCAGCTGCTGCGCGTGGTGCTTTACTCCTATAAGCCCATGATTTGAGAAGCTGAGCAATGTCTGGGCCAGCCTGAACTACATAGTCAGAGCCAGTCTCAAAGAACACCCCTCCCCGCAAAAAAAGTTCTGCTTACCAGTAATTTTTTTTTTGAACGTACCTTTGGTGTTTTATCTAAAAAGTTGTCAGCATATCCAAGGCCTAGATTTTCTACTGTGTTATCTTCTGGGAGTTTACATTTTTTTACAGTTGGGTCTGTGATCCCTTTTGAGAGTTGCTTGCATACATTTTTGTCAAGTTGGTTCCACGCCAATTACTGGAAATATTTTCATATGTCAGATAAAAACTGAAGTCCAAGTTAGAAGGATTCCAATAACTGACCCCCAGATTACATTGTTGGTATCATTTTTGACCCTTCTCATTCACTAAACATAACCACTTTCATTTCCTGAACGTGTCATATACGTTTGTAGTTTTCTGTCTTTCTTGTAGACTTTCAATTGAGGCTTTTTATTCATTTTTTTAAATTGAAACATTGTAAAAATATTATGATTCTAAACAATTCATACTTAATAAAAGTATTTTTTAGTCTCAAGTTAGTCCTTAGTGATACAGATAATATTAGGTGTGAATCTGGATTAGTTTGTTTTAGTACTGGGTTTTAATATCTATTTTAATTGAAAAACAAAGATGTAGCACTGAATATAAGTATATTGCTGTCTTCATTATCTGCATCAGGATTTTTTGTGAGGTTTAATTTAGCCACATTACTAATTCATCAGCAGTTTTGTTAAAATTTAGATAGTGATTTCCCATAGTTTCTGAAATTAGTCAGTTCATCTTATAAAACAAAATGGGATATGGTACCTTCTATTACATACATCTGTTCAAAATCTTGGCCATGATGGAGTCACAGAGTCTGAACTTACCTTTCTGAGTTAAACAACTAGAAAACTGGGCCAATAGATGAAATCCTGGTTTTCAGACATTGGATGTCAAGGCAGCATAGGACAGAGATCATCGAGAACAAGGAAACTAATGGGGGCCCTGGGATTACCAGGGTTTATGGCCTAAAAGCAGGTGAATCCAGGCTTCCTTACCCCCTCTCCCCTGACTCTCCAGTAGGGGTGGAACCTCAGCCTTGCATGTGCTAGGCAAGGGCTCTGCCCCTGAGCTACATGCCCAGCAGCCTTAGTTTTTCTTGACATATAATCTTTTTTTCTTTGTCACCATGGCTGTTTTAAGTTAGGTGGTTGTGTGGCATTTAGAGTTCCTACTGTGTCTGGTTCTTTACATTTCTGTTTCAGAGTGTGATGTAGATTTAAGCTGCATTAACTTTCTGTTTCATGTGGTTATTTTTTGAGGTAGAATACCAACACTAAAGACAAAGAATGCTGGGAACACACTAAGAAGTAGGCGTTATTTGTTAATCAGAACATTATTAGTGGTTTCTGACCTAACCAAAATAAACTTCTTCTTTTTTTCTTCGTTTTTGATTATTTGAGACAAGGTCTCACTATGTAGTTTAAGCTGGTCTTAAACTCACTGTGTAGCCCAGGCTAGTCTAGGACTTGCAGCAATCCTCTTGCCTCAACCTCTTGGGTGCTGGAATTACAGGGATGTGCTACCACGCATGGTAAAGTAAACTTGGAAAGCTACCTGTGCTTAATAAATTGTAACTTTTTAAACTACCCCCATAAGGTGTAAAACAATGCTACATACAAAGATACAGCGGGTGTGGTGGTGCATGCCTGTAATCCCAGCAGTCTGGAGGCTGAGGCAGGAGAATCCTTGTGAGTTTGAGATCAGCCTAGGCTACATAAGTGAGCTCAAGGCCAGCCTGAACTGCATAGCAAGACCCTGTCTCAAAAAAAAAAAAAAAAGACATACAAAGATACAGAAAATGAAAGTTAATATCTGTCTCTGCCTCAAACTTTTTAGCCTGACAGAACTTTAAGAAACAGAAAACCTAAATTGTTCTGATGAATAACTTACTGAATATTGTTTGATCACTAGATGAAAAATCACTGCTGGAGCAGAAACCTTCTAAACCAGCTGCCCCACAAGTCCCACCCAAGAAGCCTACTCCACCCACCAAAGCCAACAGCTTGTTGAGATCTTCTGGATCAGTTTTCCCAAAGCGACCTGAAAAACCAGTTCCTCCACCACCTCCTACAGCCAAGTAAGTCCACCTAACTTTAAACTAGCTCATTGATTTACCTACCTTTGGCCCAGATGGCTCTATGACCTTTCTAAATATCAAATTAATTCTTTTGAGTATTTGTTCTACATACTTCCTCTATAGATTGCAATAATTCTGTTAAATGTAATCTTACATTCATACTATGTGGATACATTAATACTGTTCTTACACTTCTGATTTAATGTGGTCAGTTGTAAGGTAGAGGTTTACACTTATGAAAATCATTTTTACAGAACAGAAAGTAATCAATATTGTTATAAAATCGTCAGTGTTTACGATAACAGTATAATGTTAAAGATCACCACAGTATAAAAATGTCATATTTAAGTAATTTTTGCGTATGTTTGTTTTTCTCATTTCAGGATTAATGGAGAAATTTCTACCATCTCATCAAAGTTTGAAACTGAGCCAGTATCAAAACCAAAGCTAGATTCTGAACAGTTGCCACTGAGACCAAAATCAGTAGACTTTGATTCATTTATAGCAAGAAGCCCTAAAGAAACAGGTAAGTCAGCATGGATAAAGGTAGTATGCTCAAAGAAGTGATTAGGACAGTTTTAGAAACTAAGAGATTTATATATGGGTAAATAGAGAGGAAATTTGTTTAAAATCTAATAGCCAATCTAGAAAAGTAAATGAAGATAAGTTGGGAAAATCTTTAGAGTTTTACTGGTCCGAGGATTCTTACTGGTCAGATAACAAGTGAATATGCGTTTTCATAGCAGTCAGTGGACTGAAATAGTTGTTGAGGAAATCATCCATGGGTTATTCTTTCTGTTTATAGTGGAATGACCATATACCACTGTCCTTTCAGGCAGATATGCCTACAGTTTACTCTTAAAGACAAAGTGACTTAGACTTTCAGTGGCAACACTAGCCTATATTTGGTAAGACAAAATTTTTTTTTAAATCTAGAGATACTTTTGTTTCCAATGGAGGATATGCTTTTTATGGCTGTATGTATCAATAGGTTTTACTTCTTTTGCTAAATGTTTCTTCACATTATGATCTTTCAGCACATGGATCACCTTTGTCTAGTCTACACTTTTTTCTGATTTTCATACCGTATTAGTTGTAAAGTAGGAAACTTGACACAGAGGTACCTAAAAGTTCTCCCTATTTAAAATATTACAGAAGTATTACTTTGTGGTAATAGTTATCATATATAAAAAGTGCTTTGAAAAGTGTAAAAAGCTACAAACAAATGGAAAGCGTGATAAAAATAATAACCATTACCACAAAGTAATGTTTGTGTAATTTTTTTTTTTAATTTTAAAGGTAAAAGAACAAAAACATAATAACAAACACATACATTTACAAAATAACACAAAAACAATACAAACAATACAGAATTTCAGACGAGGTGATAAGAAATTAACACTGGTTGTTGTATTACGTATTGATATCTGCAAACTGGTTACTCAGATAAACAAATACGGGCATGCAAGATTGATCAAAAAGTTAAACATTAACTGTTCCTTTCAATAAAGCAGTAAAAATCAGTAGTACAACTATGTTAGCTATCCTGTGTATACATATATACATGTTTTTTTCCTTTTTTGTTTTGTCCCTTATACCAGTTGTTCATTCCATCTGAGCAGTTTCCTTCCCTTTCACAATATCTCTTGTACCTCTTAGATTTTATTCACTTTTTCAGGTTCTTACACTAGTGAGACAATGTGGTGTTTACATATGCAGGTCTGATTTATTTCACTTATGAGTATGGTCTCTAGTTGGGTCCATTTACTTATAAAAGCCTCGAGTTTATCTTTCTTTATGGCTGAGTAAAATGTAATACATTATAAAATGTGTAAATAAATATTATACATTATAAAACATTGTATAACTTCTTTATTCATTCGTCAGTTGATGGGTATTTGGGTTGCTTCCACAATTTAGCTCTTACAAATTGTGCTGCTATAAACATGGGTGCACATATATTATTGTGGTATGATGTTTTCAGTTCTTCTGGGAAAATACCCAAAAGGGAAATAGCTGTGTTAAATGGGACCTCTAGTCTTTAGTTTACTGAGGAATCTCCAAACTGATTTCCACAGTGGTTTCACCAGTCTATACTCCTACCAGCAGTAGAGGAGGGTTCCTTTTTGCCCTCAGCCTTGTCAGTATGTGTTATTGGTTGATTTTTAAATGATGGCTATTCTTACTGGGGTGAGATGGAATCTCAGTGTTGTTTTAATTTGCATTTCTCAAATGACTAGTGATGTTGAACATTTTTATTTACTTGCCATTTGTATTTCTTTATCTGAGAAGTGTGTATTCATCTCAGATGCCCATTTTTGGATTGGGTCTTTGAATTTGAGGGGGCTGAGTTTTAAAAACTCTTTATAGTTCTAGATAGAAGTCCTTTGTCCGAGAGACAGTTGGCTAAAATTTTTTCCCAATTCGTGGGTTTTCCTTTTACTCTTCTGGTGATTTCTTTAGATGGGCAAAAACTTTTCAGTAAGATGAGATCCCAGTTGTTGATTCTTTGAAGTATTTCTTGTGCAGTTTGGTTTTTGTTTATGAACTCTCTACCTACTCCTATGTCTTCAAGATTTTTGCATGCTTTCTCTTCTAGTAGATTTAGTGTTTCTGTTTTAATATTTAGATCTGTGATCCATTTTGACTTGAGTTTGGTGC